AAACCGATGGCATGGTGGAGCGGCTGCATAGGACGCTCACATCTATGTTGTGTCACCAGGTGTGTGACTCCCAGACCGATTAGGACCTTCACATTCCGGGGGTTTTGGCCGCCTATAGAATGGCTCCTCACGCGGCAACCGGCTTCTCGCCGTTCTTTTTGATGTACGGTCGCGACGTTGACCCACCAATTGCGACTCAGCTCCGCGTCTCGGAAACCAGCAGAAAATCGAAATTGGCCGACCACGTTAAATTTAATATCCTGAGGTTGACCGAGGCGTGGGAGGCAGCGGCCCAAAACTCTTCCTCTCGGCAGAAGGCCAACGAGAGGTTGCGATCGCGCCAGTCACGCACACATGCGTGGAAGCCAGGCGATCAAGCCTGGCTGCACTGCCCTCAAGTGCCGTTGGCGACCTCGGCGAAATTGTTGCGGCCTTGGAGGGGCCCTGTGGTTATTGTGAAGGTTATGCGGCCGCAGTGCATTCGTATCCAGTGGGGGAAACGCCGCTGGTACGTACACCCCTCGCGTCTGAAGCCGTTTGTGGCGCCGCGCGTCCCTCCACCACATTACACGGGCCGAGCATGTGATGTATCCGCTGACTCCCGGACGGCGTCTTCATCGCCTGCCCCGGATGCTTCGCTAACTGTTCCACCTTTAGGCGCCTCAAGAGTGACGGCTTCCAGTGCGCCTGCGCCACCCGGTGGGGACGGAGTTTGCCCTCCCGGGGTGATGGAAGACGGTGCACCTGCACAGCCGGTGCCCACTGCCGGGCCGACCGGGCCCTCCCCCTATGATGGACCCGCAAAACGGACTCGCGCCAAAACGCGCCGCTTGTTGTAATAATGGTTCTTGTTACTCTTGTTGTTCACTGTTAAGTTTTCTTGCTGCGTTTATGGGGGGGGGGGTACAATGTGCATGTGTATATAGTGTAATTTTGCATAGGTGGGTTGGGTTTTTTATTGAGGTGTTCGTTCTTATGAGGCACGCACGGGTGGGGGTTTGTTGTGTTTATTATTCGAGTATTGTTGCAGCCGGGACGGCTGCGGGTTACACGGGAGGGGGTGATGTAGGGGTGCTATGGGGAATAAACACATGGCACGGGAAGGTGTGGTTCACCCACACCTTGGTGGCTACAACAACGTCCGCTAAGGCTCCACCCCCTGTGGGTATAAAGTGCGGGGAGCCAGGGAGCTCGGGGCAGAGAGTGTTGGGCCCGAGGCTGAAGCAACCAGTGAAGAAGGCCAGCTAGGTGAGACCCTGGAACTCCTGTGACCGCTGCCCTTTTCAGGGCCGGCACAGCAAGCCAGTGGTGCGGCCCCAGAGCCCCAGAGCCAGAGTCCTTCTAAGGGCCGGTCTGATCGGCGGGGTGCCGAGATCTGTGCCTAACCAGGGCCAGATCTGATAGCCTCCCTTAGAGCCCTACCAGGAGGAACTGGGAGCCTAGAGCTTAGGCTAGAGAGCCTGGGGTGTGTTCCTGAGTTATACGGGTGAAGGGGCCGCTACCCCTTCTAGTGTAACCCTTAAGGTTTAATTAAATAGTGCTGCCTCTACTCTGCCGTCTCCGTGTCCTGGAACCCACTACACATGTGTAGTGACTGTACTTGTCACTGTGTGGTGCCGAGACTTGTGAAGTCATGGCCGGTAATGTTGTCATTGCGGGCAGTCCTAATTGGGGCTGCAGTAGCGGTGGTTGGGTGAGCGCTGGTGAGCGCGGAGGCACCGCGAGCGGTGCCGGCTCCCGGTGAGGGAGCGAGAGGGAGCATCAACCAGCCAAGGTTACTCTGGGGCATGACACTCTGGTTGTGACCTGTTGTCACGTGACCGGACGATACTGGAGGGGGGACACCGGTGGATGGGGGACGAGGGGTGGTTACGTGGTCCGGGAGAGCTCTCGGGAACATTCGAGAAGGGGCCCAAGGAGCCTGGAAGGTGGGCGGGGCTAAGGGTGGAGCCTGGAAGGTGGGCGAGGCTAAGGGCGGAGCCAGCCCCAGCCCGGGAAAAAAAAACGACAGCTCCGTGAGGAGCTCGTGGTTCTTCAAGTGTTGGTGTTCGAAGATCCACGTCAGGAAGAAGCCTCTAGCCACGCGGTCCGGGACCCAGCTTGTGGTCCGGACCGGGATAGCGAACCGTGTCTAGTTCTGCCGTAGCGTGGTTAGATGGGCATTCGAGACCCGAGTGTAGGTTATGTTCGTGCTGTTGTGTTGAATAGTTTTGTTAACGTCTGCGACTCAGTTGGACTCACAACACATGGTTAATTTTACGAGCCTTTGGCAATCTGTTTAAAGGTCAAACAACGTTAAATAATATACGTATACGGAATAAAATGCTCAATCAACAAAATATATCCTAAATATAAAAATCCCGCACTGGGAATTAACAATTTGAGCTAAAATCCCGTAAACCGGAAGGGTACCAAAATGCCCGGAAGTGGAGCCGGATTTCCATTCTGCAGCTCCCAATTCCTGCCGAGCGAATTAAGCTCCCAAGAGGGTGCCTAATTCCCAAAAATGGGCTCTGGCATTCCCTATAACCCCACCCCCAAACTCCAAAGCCTATCCCCAAATCCCAACCCGTAACCCCTAAACCATAACTAACCTCTAACCCCAAACCTACCCCCCTAAAACCCTAAACCCCAACCCCTAACCTTAACACCTAACCCTAGCCCTTAACCCCTAACCCAACCTCTATCCACAAATCAACCCCTATACCCAACCCTACCCCCTAACCTAACAAACTCTAAACCCCAACCCCTAAACCACTAGCCCTTAACTTTAACCCCTTAACCATAACCCCTAACCCCCTAACATTAACCCCTACACTATTAACCCCGGACGATAACCCTGAACTCTAACCCATTACTCTAACCCTTAAAATACATTTTTTCTAATATTGGCCAAATTTTCATTGCGTGTGATTTTTCAAATACATTCCTCCATATCCTTTAGGAATACTCTATATAATTTACTTAGTGAATTTTTTTGGCAAAAAAGACACGTTCGTATGTGGATTTATTTCACACAAAAATCATACATTTGATAAACTCCCCAGTTTTTATTTGATATATAGCCTAATAAAACAAAAGGTGTACGGAGGTATTTACTTCTCATTGAACATGTACACTTAAAATGTGGCAAATTTTGTCGAAAAAGGGCATTTACTAAACATTTTTTTAGTGTTACATGTCTAGTGAGTTCAACTGAGTCGCAGACGTACTCTTGGAGGTAACACATTTATCTAACACTAACACACGGGGTTAATTGCCCCTTAACAGATAACATCCTGTGGTGGTGACCACCAGGCAAACTACACTAATCAGAACGTAGCTAGCTACAATGGACCGGACCAAAGCTCGGGTCCAGGTCGACGTGTTGGAGACTCGGTAGAACGTAGGGCGTAGACAAAGGCTTCAATATGAACGCCGGTCCCTCTGGGGGACTCAGCTTATATCCTCTGCGGTGTGGCCAGCTCCACCCTTGGCCACGACCACCTTCCAGAATCCTCTAACAGGATCTGGACCCGGACCACGTGACCACCCCTAGCCCCCTCTTAGGGCCCCTTTGTAGACTTAACCGGTCACGTCCTCTCGGGTCAACCAGTGCCATGGTCTTTAGTAACCCCGGCACACCCACACCCTATCCTATAGGGCTGCCACTGCACGCCAAGCGTGGTGCCACCTCGCGCTAGCAACCAGCACTCACCGAGCCCCTCTAGGGCCGGTACTACACCCACATCATAGTGGTGTCCGCGCGCCGTGCCTCTCTAGGGCTGGCACAGCACAGCGACATCCCGCAATGTCACTACACTTGCAAATGTACAATATTTTTTACTAGCATCTTTGCCCATCCTAGGACAGAATCTATAATATTTACGAAAAAATTGAGCAGAGTATAATTGTATCTTGTTTAAATTTAATGGCAGTGAATCTTGCACAAAAGTATGCCATCAAACACTGCACTGCAGTTCACTGTAGCACTGTATTAATGGCAATGATTCTTGCACAAAACTATGTTATAAAACACCTAACTGCATGTCATTTTAGCACTGTATATAACTGACCTTCAATTTATATTCTTGGTTCTTTCGGTAAAGTCACGTAGAAGGGAAACAATAAAATAATAAAAATATAAAACAATAAAATTCTCACGTTTCGACTGCAACACAAGCAATCATCAGGTGTGAAAACCACTTATTTCAAATTTTCTTGTTGTGGTTTTCACACCTGATGATGATTGCTTGTGTTGCAGTCGATACGTCGTGATAATTATATTGTTTTATATTTTTATAATTTTGTTTCCCTTCTACGTGACTTTACCGAAAGAACCAAGAATATGAATCCCTGCAGTCACGAAGGCTTTAAATCAAAATTTGACCTTCAATTTGTTCAAATTCACTGCGCTGATACTTTATTCTCTTCTGCTTTCGGTTGCTGTGTTTGAAATAAATAGATCGATACAATATCTGCAAAATCACCAAGAAATGTCTCCAAGAAGGGGCAATTTGTGCCTAAACAAATTCAATTACTTTAGGTGCAGGACTCTGAGACTACTTATGGTGTACTGTAGCTCACTGGAGTAGCAAACAATTTGAATAGGAGGCAATGGTGGCAAAACAGCAGAGAAATGTATATTTTAGCATAATTTGCAAGCCTAAAGTTGACTTTGCTTTCATTTGACGTGGCGAAGAAATAAATGAAGGCAGAAAATGTAGTGGGATGTAGCGTGGAATTGTCTGGTAAGCTCTAGATAAAGAGGGGAGAATAGACGTTAAAAAATGTCATTTGTGCCTAAACAAACTTTCATTTCCGCTCCACGTTTCTCCTTGCGGAATGACGTCAGTAGTTAACGATTATAAATTAGCATGCATGTAATGGCGGGGAATAATGGGAAAAAAATGTCATAAAACACCATACTGCATGTAACTGTAGCACTGTATTAATGTGAGTTAATATATATAGCTCAGTGGGCCTTACCTGGTAAAATAGAATATAAAAATACAAAACACTTCAGTTAGTATTTTTATTAAAACGCAATCGTCTGCACTGTGAGAAAAATTAATTGTTAACGTGTTGTTCAGCAGTTGTTCTTATAATACAGACTTGGCCCTGTCATTGGAATGTGAAATTATCACCATTGGCTTGGAGAGTGTGTATGTATTAGCTACTCATGAACAGGATTTAACCCCTGAAGTTTGCTAAAGGCTAGAGGGAAGATATTTGTCTTTGTGACAGTGTGTGTGTGTTTCTGTGTATGTCTCTTTATACTGTGAGGTCGCGAGGATGAATCTCTCTCCGTCCATCGAGGTCCATGATGGCCATGGCTCTGCTGAGTAGGAAAACGCCGAGCTGGCGGCGTCGGCTCAGGGGCCATCCACTCACGAGGCCCGGCACTGAGCCACGTCGCTCGTTACACAAGGAGCCCACGCCTACACATGGCACGGACACACAGACATACACACAAAGATATGCACACTTACATAGAGATATACACACTCACAAAGATACACAAAGATATGCACACTTACATAGAGATGTACAGAGATATACACACAGAGATACAAAGATATACACACTCATATAGAGATACACAGATTACACACTCACACCGATACACAGATATACACACTCATATAGGGATACACAGATATATACACACTCACAAATACACATATATACACACTCACACAGAGATATACAAACTCACAGAGATACAGAGATATACACACTCACATATAGATACAGAGATATACACTGACAGAGTTACACAGAGAAAAACACTCACATAGAGATACAGAGACATGGCCATATAGATATTTACACAGCCTCACAGACAAATATAAATTTCCCCCCTATAGACTTAACATACTGTTGGGGCAAGTAGCTCCCCAGTGGCAATGTTTACATAGCACCAGGTACTCATGTGAGGTTGAGCCGGCCTCGGGGAGGCCCAGAACCGGTTCAGATAATCGTCACTGGTGTTGGCCGTGAGCAGGAATCGAACTCAGGTCGCCAGGCTCGTAGCCCAGCACGCTAACCACTGCACTACAAATGCAATCACATAGACACGGAGACATAGGCCATGTGGCCAGATGACGAACGTGTCATCTACATACCTCTTCCACAAGGATGGACGTAGAGTGGGGATGCCTGGATGGCATCTGTCTCAAATTTTTCCATGAAAACATTGGCTAATTTCTCACATTAACATAGCCACCTCCGCGTGCTCGTCGTGGAGGTCGTCCTCCGATCTTACATTAACATGCTAATTTCTCACATTAACATCAATAGCCCCGCCCACTTCGTTTATGACCCTTGGGCTACACCCATTAAAAAACCTTTAAAACAGTCTACCTCAGCAGCTTTCCTCTCTTTTTTCAGCCTGATGACGACCGCTTGCGTTGCGATCGAAACGTCGTAGTTTTTTGTTAATTGTGTATTATTTTCTTTGAACCTATCTATGTGACTTTACCGAAAGACCCAAAGAATATGAACACCAAATAAATATTCAATACTCCCAAATACAACTGTTGGCAGTGGCAGAACATGCGTGCCAACAATTGATTTTGAAAATGTTGAAGTTCTGTGCAAAACTTGGGACTACTGCCCAAGACTAATTAAGGCATCTATATAAATTGGGAGATACAAATTATTTTAACCGTTCAGATAGCTACAGGTTTAGTGCCTATACAGTTCACCACTCGTCTATACCGATTAACTGTGAGCAGACAATAACAGGTACTGTGATTTCTATGCACACAAACAACAGCATGTACAAGAACAATGTGAACGCATAATGTGCATGTAAAATAACACGTAGGTTTTCGCGACCAATATTATTCATAATAAAGGTTTTTGGGTTAGATCGTGTTATTTATAAATGTGTCGTAACCCTCCACCACCCGACACGGCCAATCAGCAAAAAAAGTGTCACGTTGACAAAAGACAATAATTCACTACTTTAGCCCACCGGTGTGTTGAAGAGTGAATCCAAAACATTTACAGTTTGAGTACGACGTTTCGCTGGTAAATACATCCAGCATCATCGGGCAATTCGCCAGAATGGTAAAGCCCTCGCTTGCTCCCGGTTTTAAATAGAGCAGCAGGGTGACGTCATCATTTAACTCATATCGGGTGCAGTGATTAGAAGCGGAGGGGAGGGTATTGTAGTTACATAATCGATTAGTAATCAGTCAATGGTTATGATTAGTAATGAGTTGTAGATTAGTAACTAGTTGTAATGTGTGTTAGTGATTATCTGCTATGTTAGTAATCCGTTAATTAGTATGTGTTTCCCCTATAAGGAATTGTAATGTGCATTCATATTCTTAGCTCCCTCGGCAAAGTCACGCTGAAGGGAAACAACAAAACAAATATATATTTTATTATTCTATTGCTTCCCCCCAACGCGACCCCACCGAAAGAGCCAAGAACATGAATTACTGCAGTCATGAAAGCTTTAAATCAAAATGTAATGTGTATTATTTAATAATACGCTTCCAGGCCGCACTAAGCCTGTAGCTGTCAGAGCGATTAAAGTTATTTTTATACCTCTCAATTTCAATGGATTCTCTAATTAGTCTATGCCAGTCATAATTAGTTTTACACAACACTGCAACATTATCAAAATCAATTGAGTGTCCTTGTTGACAAGCATGTTCTGCCACTGCCGACAGTTGTGTTTGAGATAATTTAATATTTCTCTGATGTTCTTTTAGTCTTACGCTGATGTTACGTCCCGTCTGTCCAATATAGCATCTGCCACATAAACAATTAATCCGATATACACCTTCTGTTGATAATTTAGGTAATGCGTCTTTAGTGCAAGATACTAGTTTTTGAATTTTGTGTACTGTACCAAATCTTACTGTAATGTTTTGCTTTTGCCAAACACGGGCTAATTTGTCAGTTACTCCTGAGATATATGGAATTTTTATTGTTTTAACAATCTGATCGCTTTCAGCAGTATTGCTTTGCGATCGTGATTTGGCATTCAGTGCTCTGTTAATTTGAGCATTATTGTAGCCATTCTGTCGTAGTGCGTCTTTAACGTGTTTGATCTCTCTCACTAGACTCTCACCATCTGACACCGTTTTAGCCCGATGTATGAGCGTCTTGATAAGAGAGGATTTCTGAATGTCAGATGATGCATTCATTAATCCCCCCCCCCTCGTTATGGCTTTCGCACCTGAGGGGCACACAAGTAACATCAGATTTATCCCTCTATTTACGAATGAAAAAGGAGGATTTTTCCACAAATCTGGCTGATGATGTTAGTTGTAATTACTGCCAAAACGTCATACTCAAATTGTAAATGTTGTGTATTTACTCTCCAACACACTGGTGTGCTGTACTAGTAACAAATTGACATGTTCTGTTCACGTGACAACCCTTGCTAATTGGCTGTGTCGGGTGGTGGCGAGTTCACCAACACATTTATATTTACACGATCTAACCCAACAATCCTCTATTATAGGCATAGACACTCACAAAGACATACCAAGATCTCCAAATAGCCTTAAAGTCCACTTCGAGTGAGGGATAGAGTGTAAGCGGGAGGGATAGAGTGTGATTGGTAGGGGTAGAGTGTGAGTGGCCTTCATAGGTGCCCATTAACAGCACTTGCCCCTACAGTTTGTTAAAGCTATATGGGGGATCTTTGTGTGAGTGGTAGGGGTAGAGTGTGAGTGGTAGGGGCAGAGTGTGAGTGGTAGGGGTAGAGAGTGGTAGGGGTAGCGTGAGAGTGCGAGGGGTCTAACCTAATGCGTCAATGATGCATGACTCCCGAGTGAGTGACTCAGCAGAGGTGGAGGAGTGGAAACAGGGGATGTAGATGACTCCGCGTCCCGCTTCCCAGACGGACAAAACGCGGGCAACCTTCTGGCTCGGCTGGGCACACGGAAACACACACAGGGACAGGCACACCCAGAGACAGAGACAATCACATACATATACACATATGTTTGTGTAAACATCACCACTGGGGAGACAAAGGCGACCAGGCATGGTGCTGGCCACCCACCCCATCGTATACCATTCTGACCTTCATAGGTGTTTACAAACAGCACTTGCCACAACAGTCTGTTAAGGCTATATGGGGGATCTTTATATTTGTGGCGAGTGTACCTCTATATGTGGTGAGTGGCTTGCCTGGCATCTGGCCTGGCACAGGCATCATGGTGACATCACCGCCACTTAGTGGCGAATTGCATCTGTTGTTGTTGGTGAGTGTACCTGTGTCTGTGGTGAATGGCGGTGAGTGTATCTGTGGTGAGTGACAGTGTGGTGAGTGTACCTGTATGTGTGGCGAGTGGAGGTGAGCCATTGCCTCCTGGAGATGATGAAACGGGCGATTTCCTGAACCTTTTCCAATGTAGAAGATAGAACTCACGAAGATACGGAACTGCTCACCACCTTGCTCACCACCTTCACCTGGATCCATAAGTTTGCTGCTGACCAAGTATAACAACAACATTAGCCGTCGTTTGCCATTTAGTGGCGGTAACATCACCACGGCGCCTGTGCCAGGCTAGGTGCAATTTGAAGCCGTCATGTGAAGTGTGGAAGGCTCGCTGCTGGCAGGTCAGGGGGCAGACCCAGGTTCCAAAGGTTGATCACTGTGCCAGGCTAGGTGTGGGAGGTCACATACATACGTGCATGAGGTCACGGGACAGACCCCTGCACAATGGGTTGACTTACTGAGATGACTGGCAGATGCACCACCTGTGCCCCCTACTGTGGCAATTTCCTTAGCCGCCCGGCACTCTGTTCGTTGTTATGAGCGTCGCTCCTCTGCCCTCCACTATTGTTAAGAGGGTGACTGCCTTCAACTGCCCAGTCGCCTCAAGGTGCACCTAGCCTGGCACTGCCCAGTAGCATCCTTCAAAAGCCGCCTCCTCCGCAGAGACCGATCTTGACACCACATCCTCCTGTACCACATCAGCTCCATCTCTTGTCTAGCCCATGCCGCTCACCCACTCATCTCTGATTAGTATGGTTGGCTACGTAAGGTGTGAAAGAAGTTCAGGCTGACCAACCCACCCACTCGTCCACCAACTCGTCTACCCACTTACCCAACCCACCCACTCATCCACCAACCCACCCACTAACCTACTCACCCATCAGTCCATCTTTTCTCCAGGCCGTGCTACATCTATTAGCCCCTCTACTTCTTTGGTTCTTTCGGTAAAGTCACGTAGAATGAGAATAAAATAATAAATTGATCAAATAAAATAACACACTAAAATTCTCACGACGTTTCGGCCACAACACAAGCGGCCTTCATCAGGTGAAGGGACGAGACTGTCTGGAGGACAGCGCTGGAGCGAACAAAGCCACGCTCAGATCGCGACCTTTAAGCTGTGTGAGAAGAAACAAAGCGCCTTGACAAAGGAATTAGCATAGAATATAGCATTGAAATAGCTGAGTGATTAGCTTGTGACTGGTCACAGAAATGGCTATGTTAAAGTTAAAGCATACACATCCACAGAGGCACCCCTTGACAAAGGAATTAGCATAGAATTTAGCATTGAAATAACTGAGTGATTAGCTTGTGACTGGTCACAGAAATGGCTATGTTGAAGTCAAAGCCTACACATCTGAGCTATTCACAGTAACTGGGTATACACTACACTATATAATGAATACTATATAGTGAACCAATAAAAAACTAAAATATAAATTACCTCAATGTTATCAATAAACTCTATATATTCTCCAATCAGCTAAGCTACCAACAATAAGTCGTTATATATCACAATGCTATATGGCGAAAAAATGGGTGGATTCTTACCCTCAACTTTAGCACCACAGATAGCTACGAGCCCCATTCAGACGGACGAGTTCATCCATGGTCGGAATGGAGGAGGGGGAGAGAGACAGCTGCAAGGCGCTGTTATACTCCATGTTGTAAACCATACCATTAACCGTGGTGTGAGAGGTATTAAGAGTCAATGCCAGCGAAAGAGCTGCAGTCTGAAGGTCATCGTAAAATACAATTAAGAACCGAAATGGTTTAAAACATCTTTCCAATGGTTACTAAGCCAGAATCCATCTTCTCGGTTGAAATTGTCTCTGTGCTTGTATATGTGAATGGTCTCATGAACGAATCTCTCATGGTAGCCGGTTGGTTTGCAAAGAACCTCCGTCTTGGAGAAGTCAATGTCATGTGAGCCCACTGAATTATAACAGTGATCTGCCACGGCAGAGGAGTTCGTTCTACCGTGTTTCAAGTCTGCTTTATGTTCGCGGATGCGGTCCGAGATATGTCGTTTGGTTTCTCCAATGTAGCTACTACCACAGAGGCACTTTAGTTTGTAAACGCCCAGGTACTGTATGTCTGGAACAGCATCTTTTACAGATGGAACCAGATCACGGATTTTATGTACTGTGTTGAATCGGATCTGGATCTTGTGTTTATTCAGGATTTTGGAGATCTTTTTAGTGACCCCTGCAATGTAGGGTAAGGTGATGGTTTTGAGTGGCTCCACAAGAGGATCCTTCTTCATGACTGGAGTGATGGCTTTGCGGATTGTGTAGTCGGAGTAACCATTAGCCCTGAGAGCCTGGTGTACGTGCTTGAGTTCACTGGTAATGTGTTCCTGGTCGGAAATGCATTGGGCTCTATGGTATAGAGTCTTGATGAGGGAGTTCTTCTGGGATGGATGGTGGTGGGAATCCGGTTTCAAGTAAGCATCTGTATGGGTAGCTTTCCTGTAGACAGAATGGCTCATTGAACCATCATGTCTCCTTTTAATTAAGACATACAAAAAGGGTAGTTTTCCATCTTTTTCGACCTCCATGGTAAATCTGATGGCTGGGTGTATGGTATTGATGTGGTCGCGGAATTGGTCTAGAGCAGGCTGGCCATGTGGCCAGATGACAAAAGTGTCATCCACGTACCTCTTCCATAAGGTCGGGCGTAGAGTGGCAGTGTGGATGGCGTCAGTTTCAAATTTTTCCATGAATATGTTGGCTACAACCGGAGATAGGGGGGAGCCCATTGGGGTGCCCTCAGTTTGTTTGTAGAAAGTTTCATTCCAGGTGAAGTATGTGTTGGTTAAGCAATGTCTCACCAGGGGGGGGGTACATCAGTATGCAGTCCTTGATGAACCAGGTCTTCAATGATAGCGATGGTGTCAGGTACCGGGACTTTGGTGAACAAGGACACCACATCAAAACTGACAAGCAGGTCGTCTGGGGACAGAGAAATGCCTTTGATTGTCGATACCAGATGAGTAGAATTTAGTACCGCAGAGGTGGTTTTTCCAGTGAGAGGTCGCAGTATATCAGCAAGAAAACGTGCCAGTTTATAGGTGGGGGAGTTGATAGTAGACGATGGGACGAAGGGGTGTATCTTCTTTGTGTATCTTTGGAAGGCCATATAATCTTGGTGGTCTGGCAGCAGAGGGTTTCAACGAGAACTGTTTGGTCTGATCAATTAATGCTGTTGAATCAGAGATGATTTTGTTCGTTTTGGTAACCAGGCTGTTGGTGGGATCTCTTTTTATTTGTGTATAGCTGCCATCGTTGAGTAGTTCTTGAATTTTGTTATTATATTCTGTTTTGTCCATGATGACAGTGGCATTGCCCTTGTCGGCTGAGAGGACGACAATATCATCTCTCTTTTTTAATTGAGATAATTCAAAGCGTTCATCTTTGCTGATGTTGCTAGGTGGCAACTTAGCGTTTTTGAGGGTTGCAGCGATTTCAGATCTTGCTACGTCTGCAGAGATGTGACTCAAGCCCTTGAGTGCAACGTTTAATGGGCAATGATATCATTAACCGGTATATGTCTTGTGTTGTGGCCGAAACGTCGTGAGAATTTTAGTGTTATTTTATTTTATCAATTTATTATTTTATTCTCATTCTACGTGACTTTACCGAAAGAACCAAAGAAGATGAATCCTTGCAGTCACGAAAGCGTTAAATCGAAAAAGCCCCTCTACTCTCGCCAAATAGATGCTGGTTTAATTGCCAAAAAACTACAGAAAGCATTCAAAGACAAAACCCCCCGTGTATAGCTTCAACAGACTGTTGGAGCAAGTGCTGCTGAGTAGCAATTATAAAGGCTGGCACGGCACGTGAGGTGGATGGCCAGCACCACGCCCGGCCGTCTTTGTCTCCCCAATGGCGATTTTAAACATCACACCAGGTACTCATTTAAGGCTGAGTCGACCTAGGAGATGCCCAGGGACCGGTTAAATTAGTCGCCACTGTTTTTGTTCAGAAGCAGGAATTTAACTTGGGTTTCCAGTTTCGTATCGCACTGCACTAATCACTACGCCACCGTTCCCACACACAAAGTATAAAACAGAGACAGACACGGACACACAGAGATTCTACAGCTACTGTTGGTGCTACTGATGCTGCTGCTGATGATGTTGATGATAATGCTGTTGCTACTGATAATTCTGCTGATGAGGCTACTGATGCTGCTGCGGATGATGCTGATGCTGCTGTTGCTGCTGCTGCTTACCGCGGGTCAAGCAGGAGGTAGTTGAAGCAGTTCTTGATGCACCGAGCCCTCCCCCTGCTCCTCCATCTGCCCCTCGGCCTGGGTCGCGAGATTAGGGTCCAGGAGTCGAATTGGGACTTCATGAGCTCCTCATCCGCGGAGCAGTCGGGAATCAGGCCAGTCAACAGGGCCCGACGCAGCTCCAGGCTGTAGCACACTGGCATCATCAACAGCATCATTATCAATCATCACCCATCATCATCAATAACCCATCATCATAAACCATCCATCACCAAACAAATCATCTTCAATAGCAGCAACATGATCAGCAGCATCAGCAGCAATATCATCAGCACCATAAGCATCACACAAATGTTAGTGTGTGAGTGTTAGTGATAATGTACATTTACAATGTGGATTTGTATAGCGTCCAAATTTCGACCACATCTCAAGACGCTGTCGGTCATAGGTCTCTCTGTGAGCCTGTGTGTCTGTGTAAGCATGTTTCTGTAGGGAGCGGTGGCGCAGTGGTTAGTGCGTTGCGCTACAAACCCGGCGATCCGAGTTCAAGTCCCGGTCAACAGCCAATAGTGATGAAAACTATCTGAACTGGTCCTGGGCCTCCCCTAAGTCGACTCATCCTGAAATAAGTACCTGGTGCGGTGTGTAAACATCACTACTGAGACGACAAAAGCGGCCGGCCGGGCATGGGGCTGGCAAACCCACCCCCTCTCGGTGTGCAGTGCCAGCCTTCAAAACTGCTACTCGCTAACAGCATTTGCCCAACAGTCTGTAAAAGCTATATGGGTGATCTTTGTCTCCGTGTGAACTAATGGGTGTCAGAGTGTAAGTCTCTGTATCCGCGGCACGTGGTGGGTGGCACATACGTATGTGCCCACCTGTGAGCGAGGGTGGCGTGGCGGCTGGGGCTAGGCTCTGGGAGTCCGACGCTGATGCCACCACGCGCATGAGCAGGAGTCTCTGCATGAGTCCACGGGTGCTGCTTACGACTGGAGCTGCCCTGACGCCCAGAGCGTTGAGCGCCCCACGCAACTCCATATCGGGCAGGGACAGCACCCACAGTGGCACAGAACAACCCACTTCACGCCCACCACCACCATCACCACTAAAACGGCGACTATCACAATGATCAACACCATCATCATGATGATCACAATCATTAACACCATCGCCAAAGCCACTACTTTGAAATTCACCATCATCAACATCTTGACATACAGCATGATCATCACCATTGCTGTCACCATCGCTAATACCACCACCGTGCATGTTATCATCAACACCATCAACACCACGACCAACACCGCAATAATCGACATCATCACCACCACCACTCTGACCATCACCAACATCAGCACCACAACCCAGGCTTGACACTTCACTCTCTGTCCAAGACAAGGTTACTTGAACGTCCTGATCTTTGAGTTCCGTGTCTAAGCAGACACTTGAGTTTTGTCCGAATGTCTGTGTAGTATTGTCCAAGTCCAACAATGGATCTAGCGTCTTTTCGGACGAGTCAGACACATCACTAAACCAAGACAAGGTACATTGAATGTCCTGATCGTGGAGTTCCGTGTCTAAATAGATACTTGAGTCTTGTCCGAGTGTCCGTGTAGCACTGTCCGAGTCGTCTAAATAGTATGTCTTCTCAGACGAGTCAGACACATCTCTAGACCAAGACAAGGTACATTGAATGTCCTGATCGTGAAGTTCCGTGTCTAAATAGACACTCGAGTCTTGTCCTAGTGTCTGTGTAGCACTGTCCAAGTCCAACAATGGACCTAGCGTCTTCTGAGACAAGCCAGATACATCGCTAAACAAAGACAAGGTACACTGAATGTCCTGGTCTTTGAGTTCTGGGTCGAGGTAGACACTTGAGTTTTGTCCGAGTGTCCAATGGGATGTGTCCGAGTCCTCTAAACAGTTTAAAGTGCTCTTGGACAACGAGGCTGTGTCTTCTCTCGTGCTGAAGTTAGGAGGTCCAGCATCATGATCATCACCATGATCATTGGAATCATCATGATCATCATCAGCATTGTCATAGTCATCATCTTCACCTTGTCCACAGATTTCTTGAGGATCATCTCCAATCACATCATCATCAACATCATCTCGAACAATGCAGTGGACATTAACACAATCTCCAACATCATAATCATCACGGTCAGGAAACTGATCTTGATCACAAATGTATTTAGTATCACCATCATCAGCATCACTGTTACTCCGGTAAGGGTTTGGGGGTTCGGAATGGTGATGCGGTGATGGTGCACAGGTCACCCACAAAGTTTGTTCTTCACAAACACCATCACCACCATCTCTACCAACACCATCATCATCGCCTCCATCACCACAGACATCCACATCTACACCACAGCTATTGTGAACAGAACCAACAGGACTGTTGTATCCACAACCATCATCACTACGACCATATTCACCAAAACGACTATCATGACCACCACCATCAGGATCAACACCACCATGATTACCACCACCATTTCCAAATCTCATTGTATCCTCAGAGTGGCAATCATGGTTTAGCAAAAGCGTTTGAGTAACATCTTCATCATCATCATCACCACCATCATCACCACCTCGCGCTCCCATCTTTGTTGATGCCATCAACCTTAGACGGAACATCTCCATCATCACCATCACCTCATGGCCATCACCACCATCGCCACCACCATCACCACGACTCCTGTGGCGTAAGCGGGGGGTGCGAGTGGGAAGAGGGGGCGTGGAGTCAAACTGAGAGAAGAGAGACTCAGACCCACAAGCCAGCTGAAGATGATCATCATGATGACAATGATCAACATCATGATCCTGCTGGTGTTGATTATTATAATCCTGGAGATGCTGTTGCTGCTGATTCTGCTGATGCTGATCGTGATGATTCTGTTGCTTTTTCTCTACTGCATTCCGCTTTCTCCGGATCGTGACAAAGCTTCGTAAATGCTCGGGGATGATGGGGAAAGCTGGCGGTGTCTTTTCCTCCGTCATCTCCTCCTTCTCCACCCCGGCCTCCATCCCCACGAGCTGGGAATAGTTGTCTGTCGTGTCCCCTAGAGATATAACGCACACAGGTTGGGAATGGCTGCTCCACAACATTGCTTTACAGTGAGCTTGGCAGAATTCAATATAAAGGCAGACCTCACTTAGCCCGTCCACGTAGAACGCTGATTTGTTAGAGCGTTCTTTGTCCTGCAGCACTGTTTACCTAAAAAAATATCAAATAAAAAATATCTACAAATCTACAAAGCGCTGACGAGTGACAACAGGGAGCAGCGCTCACCAAGGACACGTACCCGCCCCCATCATTCGCTTAGCCAATGAGCGACGGACGCTCTGAAACATCCCCCCCCCCCAGCGATTCGATTATCACGATTCGTACTCAATCACATTTCAAAAATGTATCTGTTTACCAATCAGGTCTGTTAATGATCCACCTGATGACGGACGCTTGTGTTGCGCCCGAAACGTCGTGATTTATTTTATTTTATACCTACGTGACTTTAGCGAAAGAACCAAAGAGTAAAGAACTCCATAATACAAGGGTTTTTTAGGTTAGATCGCGTAAATATATAAATGTGTCGTTAAGCCCGCCACCACCCGACTGCCAATTTAGTAAGGTTTGTCACGTAAACAGAACATGCCAATTCATTACTAGTACAGCACACTGGTGTGTTGGAGAGCCAAGCCACAACATTTAAATTCTGAGTACAATGTTTCGCCAGAAATTACAACTAGCTTCATCAGGCGACAGACAGATTTGTGATCCGGTGTGCTGTACTAGTAATGAATTGGCGTGTTCTGTTTACGTGACAAACCTTACTAAATTGTCTGTCGGGTGGTGGCGGGTTTAACGACACATTTATATATTTACGCGATCTAACACAAAAAACCTGTATTATGGATATTGTTTGCGAAAGTCCACGTGTTAAAACTGATCAATAACTCAATGCTTCGCTCCAGTAAGTTAACTCACTCTTCTATCACTTCTACTGTGGTTACTACAGGCAGACCTTACTTTATTGGCTTGTCTCTGCACCAGCGTTAGGCCAGAGAACATCAAAAGGCGAACAGTCCACCGAAAATGCAAAGAAACACGCTTTGATAATGTATATATTATTGGAACTGATTGGCCTACACCAGAGCTACAGCCTTCTTTATGGCCTTGTGTCTGTACCAGTATTAGACCAGAAAACAACGCCAAAAGGTGAACAGCACAAAGGCAATACAAACATCAAGGCATTGATAGCTCGGGTTGAGCAGTTATATGTATGGGGACTGTCTCTGGTGTAGGCCAATTAGTTTAAATGACAATGCATACACATGTATGCAGACTTGATGCCTTGCAATAAGGTGTCCACAATAGTTGGTGTTTGAAAATCTTAACACGTCCTGTATATGTGTTGCCGGGTAAAGCCTATTCTTTTTTCATAATCTCAAAGGTGCTGTTTGTTAGCGAGCGGTTGGCGATTTGGAACTTTGTGGTCTGTGCTCAGTGTTCACATTCTAATCGGCTCGCAATTCCACATTACCACGATACGGCCAGCCCATCCATAACCACACACACAAATTCAACTCGTTTAGACTGCACACAAACCGGCATTGATTTATCCGCCCTCGGTGAGTTACTGTGATTTAAGTATCCGTGCGGCGGCGCACTGTACATACAGTACGGCGCGAGTGATATAGTGAGCAGTACAGTGCGCAGTACGTACAGTCCGTCGGGGCCTGGTCACCGTTGAAGCCCGGGTCTCGCCTGCTCCCCGTCCGCTCGCTCCGAACACGCCTTACCTCATTCGCTCAATCACTCATTATATATCTTACACAGTGTTCATTCTCGCCTTTTCAAACGCAATGTTAGAGTTAATTGTGCCGAGTTTTCATCACTTCTTAATAGGTTTCATCGGCCAACTTCATTTACCACACCGACGCCAATTTTCACGTCCCTAATATTCAAGTTCCCGCCGTCCGCACCACGTGACTGCATTGGACGATACCATTCCAGATGTGCGACGAGAAAGGGGTGTAAGCTGTACCATTCCGATAAAGAGATGTGCTCTGTACTCTTTGGTTCTTTTAGTTAGTTTTATTTTATTTCTACCCACGTGACTTTACCGAAAGAACCAAAGAGTATGGATTCCTGCAGTCACGAAAGCTTCAAATCAAGATTAGATGCGCTCTGCATGCACAGGGAGTCCTCGACTAACGAACATAATTATTTCCTATGACCCGTTCGTAAGTCGAGCGGTTGGTAAGTGTTCATAGTTCATTTATTTGGTATAGCCCTGTGAGCCATTCGGCTCTTGAATCGGGTGCAACCGCAACAAAAAACATGAACAAGAAAACATCTTAAAGTGATTATGTGACTGTGCAAACAGAAAATACAGGAAAAAAATATTTAAATATTCCTGAAATAGCACCGTACACCAACGCTGTGTGCAAAAATCCCAGTGGGATGCAAGTCAAATAACAACAACAACCACAAAACAGATTAAGGCCATCAGTCTAACTCCGTACTACAATAAACAAAAACATGGCCAAAACTAAAAAACGTTTTCGAAATCACCAAAATAAAAGCCATAAATCCAATTTAACAGTGATCATAGGGACTGTGACTGAATTTTTTACAATAAACTATATAAATAAAAATGTAAACACAATACGTGATAACACGTACTGTGTTTAAATGCCCATACGCTCAGTGTTATGAAATGTGTTACGGTTCAACAAAAGGAAAGCATTGTTAACGCGTAAAAAAATTGTAAATGTCCATGTAACACTCTGGTTCTTTCGGTAAAGTCACATAGAAAGAAAATTAATAAAATAGAATACGTTTCGATTGCAACACAAGCAACTATCATCAGGTAGAACTAAATTTGAGAGAGACACAACATAGACACCACAGAGACCCAATGCCTCTGTGTCGAGGCCTTAAATAGAGAGAGGGGGGTCTGCTGGGGCAGCTGTAACACTGTAAAAATATATGTATCGTAGATAAAACAATAAAGTAACAAAGGGAAAATGTTGCTTTATTTTTACTTACCTGAAGCTGCATGAGTAACCACACATGCACACACGATGTACGCGCACACGTACACACAAGAATGACAAAGATCCCCCTTGTAGCCTTCACAGGCTGTATGAACAAATGCTGTTCGCACGCAGACGCCTATGAAAATCGACACGACACGCGAGGGAGGGGGTGAGTGGTCAGAACCACACCCGGCTGCCTTTATCTCCCCAGTGACGATGTTAACAGACCGCGCCAGGTACTCATTTGAGGCTGAATCGACCTAGGTGAGGCCCAGGACACAATTCAGATAATCCTCACTGGTGATGGTCTGAATCGAACTCGGGAAGCGAGGATGGTGGCACAGTGCTCTAACCATTGCACTGCCGCTTCCCACTAACACCAACAGCCGCCATTCGCCACTAAGTGACGGTGACGTCACCACGGCGCATCTGCCAGGCCAGGTGCACTTTGAGGCCACGTGAAGTGTCGAAGCCTCGAAACAGACCCAGGTATCATGGGTTGGCTGACTGAGATGACCGGTAGATACATCAGTTTTACTCCCTACTGTGCCAACTTGCTGCAATTTAGCCGCCCGACGCTCCGCTAGTTGTTGTGAAAGCGTCGCTCCTCTGCCCTCCGTTGTTGCTGGAGGGCGACTGCCTCCAACGGCCCAGTAGCATCCTTCACGAGCCTGTGGTTGCCACGGCCTCGGAGCAACTCTGGAAGCACCGCGACTCCCCCTGGCCCCCATACTGAGCGCACACATGTAGTGTCCTGGCGGGGGATTGCCTGGCACAACGGGTTTTTTATCCGAAGGGTCCCGAGGAGGAAAGTCCCACGATTTCCCGGTGCCAGGAGATTGGCTGACCCTCACAGGACAGGTCCCATTGCGGTGCCCCTGAGTTGACTTAAAATTGAATGGGCGCAAAAAGGTTCACCAGGCCAGCAGCAAAGAGTCATGCACGACATCGGGAGGGGCTGGGGTGGAATATTAAGCGAGCAGAGCAGACCATGAGGTCAGGCGATCGCAGCGCCACGACCTCTCCCGGCCCCAGACCGAATACACACTAGCAGGGTGTGTATTCGCCAGCCAGGCGTCCTTCCAGATTAACCAGGATGAGTAAGAAATTAATGAGTACAGATGGATAGACAATGGGTCGCAGAAGCAACTGCCGCAACGCTCCATGTAAGGGAAGAAAAACGAGCGATAATCACAGGTAGGCGCACGATTGCCCATGCGGGATAACGTGACCCTGGGCTTTTGAAGGCAGGGGGGATAAAAAGAGGAGCCTGGGACCGTTCAGATCAGATCTTGTCTTCAACCTCTTGGCCGCCAAGACCCACCCCCTGCCGTCCTGCCTTCTCAAGCCGCTCGCAGTATCCGTGCGACGCCAGCGAGTGCCGTCACGAGGCAGTGATAGGTAAAGTTATCTTTCGTCTTCCTCCATCCTACTCTCACAGCGTCCGTGTGACGCCGTGAGTTCAGCTGCGAGGTACGTGGTAGGGTGTCTGAATATCTGGGGACTTGGGCAGCCATAGGCGAGGCACTTCTCGCGAAATATTCCCTCCGGGCAGTGCGGGGTTTACGCCGACAATAAAAGTTAGTACAGAGCATTAGGCGTGGTGTCTGCGATTGCTGTGTGGGGCGACTGCGTGAGAGAACGTGCGGCGAGAGTGAACGTGGAGCCGCAGCGTGTGCGTTGAGGTAATCACTCGCGGGTGTGAGCGCGAGCGTGCTGCTGTGTGCTTTGTTAGCAATAGCTATGGTGTGTGCGGGTGTGTGGGTTAACTCCGTGCAGCTGTGATCCAGCAGTATGAGTGTCCCTAAGAGAGGGCGCTCGCGCGGGAGGCCCGATCACTCGGTCGGCGGGGGCCCGGCGGGAGCCGACCGACGTGGTAGAGGGAGCGGAATGGGAGGACGTCGCGCCCCACCTGCCTAGCAAGGGCGGTGGGGTGGACATCGGGCCCCACACCTCCTCCATAGAAGCCGATCTTGACACCACTGATACCAGTCGTCAGCAAGTCCACTCAGTTTAACACGTAGGCTTTCGCGACCAATATTATTCATAATAAAGGTTTTTGGGTTAGATCGCGTTTATTTATAAATGTGTCGTAACCCTCCACCACCCGACACGGCCAATCAGCAAAAAAAAAAGTGTCACGTTGACAAAAGACAAATAATTCACTACTTCAGCCCACCGGTATGTTGAAGAGTTAATCTACATTTACAGTTTGAGTACGACGTTTCGCTGGTAAATACATCCAGCATCATCAAGCAATTCGCCAGAATGGTAAAGCCCTCGCTTGCTCCCGGTTTTTATATAGAGCAGCAGGGTGACGTCATCACTTAACTCATATCAGGTGCAGTGATTAGAGGCGGAGGGGGGGTATTGTAATTATATAATCGATTAGTAATCAGTCATTGGTTATGATTAGTAATGAGTTGTAGATTAGTAATTCTTTAAATGTAATGTGTAATATTTAATAATACGCTTCCAGGCCGCACTAAGCCGGTAGCTGTCAGAGCGATTAAAGTTATTCTTGTTCCTCTCAATTTCAATGGATTCTCTAATTAGTCTTTGCCAGTAATAATTAGTTTTACACACCACTGCAACATTGTCAAAATCAATTGAGTGTCCTTGTTGACAAGCATGTTCTGCCACTGCCGACAGTTGTGTTTGAGATAATTTAATATTTCTCTGATGTTCTTTTAGTCTTACGCTGATGTTACGTCCCGTCTGCCCAATGTAGCAGCTGCCACATGAACAATTAATCCGATATACACCTTCTGTTGATAGTTTAGGTAATGCATCTTTAGTGCAAGATACTAGTTTTTGAATTTTGTGTACTGTACCATTTTTACTGTAATGTTTTGCTTTTGCAGAACACGGGCTAATTTGTCAGTTACTCCTGAGATGTATGTAATTTTTATTGTTTTAACAATCTTGTCGCTTTCAGTAGTATTGCTTTGCGATCGTGATTTGGCATTCAGTGCTCTGTTAATTTGAGCATTATTGTAGCCATTCTGTCGTAGTGCGTCTTTAACGTGTTTAATCTCTCTCACTAGACTCTCACCATCTGACACTGTTTTGGCCCGATGTACGAGCGTCTTGATAAGAGAGGATTTCTGAGCTGGATGATGATGTGATTCTGCATTCAGATAGGCATCAGTGTGCGTTTGCTTTCTGTAAACGCTGTGTGTTATTTTACCGTTTAGGCCATGTCCAAGCAAAATATCTAGGAATGGGAGTGTGTTATTCACCTCCATTTCCATGGTGAACTGGATGGCCGGGTTTTGTGCATTGAGATGATTTAGAAAATCATTAAGTGTATCTTTACCATGTGGCCAGACAACCAAAGTGTCATCCACATACCTAAACCAAAAGGATGGTTTTAATGTGCTCGAGGCAAGTGCTCTTATTTCAAAGTTTTCCATGTACAAATTTGCTATAGCAGGGGATAAAGGAGAACCCATTGCTGCTCCTTCCTTTTGTTTAAAGAAATCCCCTCTCCATAAGAAGTAAGTGTTATTTAAACAATGGCCAGCAAGTTTCGGAATATCTTTTTGTAAACCGGTATTCTTTACTAGTGTATCAAGTAATTTAAGCGATTCGTCCACTGGAACCTTAGTGAATAGAGAAATCACATCAAAACTTACCAGAATATCATCAGGAGTAAGTTTAATATCTTTAATCACATTCACAAGATGTTCTGATTTTTTTATGAATGAAGATGTCTTACCAATGTAGGGCTGTATTTGTTTGGTTATATATTTTGCTAATTGATATGTGGCAGAGCCAATTGTACTGACTATGGGTCGTAATGGGATGCTGATTTTATGAATCTTTGGTAGCCCATAGAGCAGTGGTTCTTAACCTGGGTTCGATCGAACCCCAGGGGTTCGGTGAGTCGATCTCAGGGGTTCGGCAGAGCCCCCGCCACGGAGGTCCGGACACACTTGAATTATTGTGTAAATTTGTGATGACACACACGGCCCGCTTGGCCATCACTGGCTGCAGATGATCATGCTACACTGCT